TATTATAATAATCTATATTATGTTATTTATTGTCATGAAAATTTAAGAATTACAGTTACAAAGACACTAAATGTTAGTTTGTCCCATCATCAATGTGATGTCAGATGTTGTTTCCAGAAGAGTTATTGTAGAATATACATTTCAATAATTTTCTTATTAAAGATGAATATTTATTTTATTTATTTATTTGCCAACACTTTTATAACAGTGGCACATGGATTAATATCCAGTGCGGCTACATACAACTATACAATATGAATAGAATACAAAGTCATGTATAATTTCTTTAAAACAATGTTGCATATACTAAAATAATCATTTATTTTATCTTTTTATAGACATAAATCTCTGGGCTTGTACAATTGGGTTAAAAAGCGTTTTACAATGCTATCAAATAATCTAAAATAGTCTTGCCCCCATTTTGAAAAAGTCTCATCACCAAGCATAAAGGTCAATTTTTCAGTCAGATTACCCTTAATGAAATCAAAAAATAAACCGGAGGGACATTGCTTACAAACAGTGTGGAAAAAGGATTCACGTTCTTCTTTAAAATGTTCACACAGCAGCAACATATGCTGTAAGTCCTCATGTACATTCAAACTACAAAGTTTACATAGTGAGTATTTACCAAAGTTTGTTCTGAACTGACCAGTCTCAATTTATAAATCTGTCTAGTCTGATATGCATGTATGACCTATCTCACCAATCTTACAATAATAAATTGATTAATTTGGCTCATATACCTGAGTTACTGAGTAAAGGATGACCTGTATTGCTGGGAACATGTTTGAACCGTTAATACATTGTGTTAGAATCCTCAATTTGAAATAAAAAGATACCTGCATGTTGGAAAAAGGATTGTATGGTGTTTTGCATTCAATTATATAATCACTTTCTATTGTGTTGTTAATTGGTTTTGTTCAATTAGTGTAGCAGAATAAAGAGAAACTGGTTTTATGATTAAATGAATGTTTACTTTGTAAATAGTTTTTAATTGAGTTATATGCCTGATACAATGCATCTCATCTCTTTTTACCATCCTGTTTTTTATTTAATTCTCACTTATTCTTTCAGAAATACCTTAAAGGCATGATTAAATATTTGAACATTTAACAAAGACAATTCATTATAAAATACATGTAAGGGTTAATGATTTCATGAGTGTGTTTGGCCCAATAAGAATCTGAGGGTTAAGTAATGTATCAAAGCTTGACAGATGTAGGTGCCAAACAAGGATACACACTATTGTACACACTATTGTTACTAATGTAGAAAGGTGATAAGAAAAGGTGTAACATGAAGACAGAGATAGTCAACTCTCATAACCAATGCTTGAAGTATATGCCTCTTCATTCCTATTCCATGGGTTTTCTCTTATATATTTCATCGCATTACATATTTTCTGGTAATTCTCTGCACTATGGTACATTATTAGCTTTATTCCTTGTTAAGTTCACTCTTTTCCTTTCTATTTTGCATTTAAACGTATGTTTATTGTGATGTTTCCCTCACAAGTAGAGAGATACATTGTTAGCATTAGATAGATTCAGTTGTCATGTTTTGCTTTATTAATTGAGAAAATACACTGCTCTCATAGCTAGTTGTCACTTAACTTATTCTTGTTGGGATTGTATTTATTTGATAGACATTTATTTTACAAGAAATCAATTATAACAATACTCAAGTCAGTTTCTTATTAATAACATATAAAGTGCTAAATCATTAAAATTTATCTTCCAATAAATATGATTTCAAATGTGGATAAAGTTCTCAAAGACCAAGCAGAGATTATGTACATTAACTTTAACTACGACATATCTTTAAGGCCATGTATTTCCTCCTGTGACATGACAATCAATTAGACAATAAATGTACACAGCAAAGCTAAGTATCTATTATGTGAAGAACTATTCTTTAATACATGCAATGTTTTCTTCTTGGCAGGCAAAGATAGCGCCAAGTATAACATATTTCTACCTCTTAACTCCTGGTAGATTCTTATGTGAAAACTCATATTCTCAAATCAAATGATAATAAAACGAAAAAATATGCCCAGTGGCATCAGTGATTCAATTGCTATTATGTAAATGCCAGTAGAACAACCAAATTAAGTAAAATATCTTGCTAGAAATGAAGAAAATGGCATGGGAGATGAAAAAATGTCCGCAAGGAAAATGTGCGAAATTGTTCATTAATAAAGCGAGTGCTTTACTTGGCAGGTTAGATAATTTTAAGTGCAGCATTTTTCTGCGTTTGCCTAAGGATTTGATAATGCAGAAAAATAGCACCTCTTGTCTTGAGTCAGAAAGTTGCTCTTTTCTCGGTGAATTTCACAATTACACTTGTTCTTGGAACGATTATTTGCAGTTTCAAACAAGAGTTATTCACATCACTGTTTAATGTTTTGATTTTTCATGACAATTTTCTATTCTGCAAACAATGTTTCAATGCATATAGGGTATTATATCTACTCTGGTGGTTGCAGATTCAATTGTTTCAAGGGTAGATCTAGACTCCTACTCCCACAGCTAATTTTATTTTGCTTTCATTTATACAGATATAATAGCTAATCAGTTTGAGCATCAGTTTTTCTGGAATATACACTGGTTGCTGTTTTGAAGAAATATGCATATGAAAGCTGACTGATATATTTAATGAAAATGCCCATCTCTAAACTGTCACAATTGATAAGGATTATTTCTATCAGAAACACAAGGAAAACAGGACAAGGGGGAATCCCAAGGCAAAAGCATTAGATTGTATGATACACATCACATATAAGAATTTCAATAAAGTGTATCTTCACTAAAAGGAAGAAGTGGTTTATTAATGGTCGGCAATGACAGTTATTTTTGAAATGGGTTTTAATGAATAGAGGATCAATGAGAAGCTGTTGTATTGCAGTATGGCCATTATAAAAATATCAGTCTGCTCATACATTTTCAGCTTTTCTATCTATAATTTGAATGGAGTATAAAATTGTCTTGCAATTTTATATACTACACAGTATGAGATTATTGCCCATGTAGTTTATGCTTAGTGATTTTCTCTCTATTCCACTTAGTTTCTCTCTTGGGAGCATAACAGTTAGGATATGTTTTTAGTAGGCAGACAGTTTGTATTGTGCTATAACCCTTGCTATAAAAGTTGTTCATGCTTTAGTTTCTCATATAAAATATGAAAAAGCTAGAGTAACCATGCTGTTTTCACTTCTTACAGACAAATTTTGATTAATTAATGATTTGCCATGTTGTCATGGTGATATAATGTGATGCATCATGGGAACATCTCATAGTTAGCCAAGGGTGGCTTTCAAAACGTTATTCAGCTATGAAATTAGAAAAAACATTAACATGTTTAGAAATTAAATTTAGAAAAAATACCACAAAAACAATCTGGTATAGTGGTTTAGAATAGACTTCCCGCTTTGTGTGATATCAATACCTGAGTTCACCAAGTTTAAACCGCCTGCCAATCACCCCATAAATCATTTTGACTGGCACTTGGGAATTGCCCAATAGGTGTCAGCACATGCTAGATACTATCTGTCAGCAACTCCAATTTGTTATTTTAACATTCAACATTGAAAGGTGCTAACTAAGTAATCCAAGCTAAAATCCACTGAAGATTAAGAGGATGTAGTACTTATCCATGTCAAAAAGAATGATGTATTAATCATTTGATAGATTTGAACCATTATGTTTCAACATTTCATAACACATTCGAGAGCTAAGTCAACAGGAATATCTGAAAAAACTGTAAAATGCCAATCATTATGGGAAGACCACTTTTCATTAGATTCACCCTTTTAAATGCTTTAACAGAGTTGTTGAACTTTTTGACACATTTGAAAGAAGAATTGGATTTCTTTAAATATTTTTGATAGTTATGACCATAAAGGTGATAGTTGATGACATCAGTTTTTTTTCATTCATGAGATGGTTGGAGAGGGATTGTATATATCCTTAATTGTAAATTGTAACTTGTAAATTCCACTATTTTAAAGTAAATAGAACAGTAATACGTAAAGGGCAGTACAATTATTATCCCATCGAACGAAGATCGGAGGGATATAGGGAATGCCTCCGTCCGATTTTGTTCATATTTGAAATGTGAATACTATAAGCATGGCACACTGTCTAATGACATTTTTGCTAGTAGGTGGCCATTTTGAAAATTGGCCGTCATTTTGTTAAAATGCCTACTTAGAAGCATATTACACTTTTTGATGACAATTTGGCTAGTGATCAATCATTTTGAAAATGATGGCCACTTTCTATGTGTTATTTTACGATTTTTGCTATATACTTCATTTGGAAAAATGCCAGCTATGTCTGTTCGATGGAATTTGCTACGCTTTGGCGTCGCTGTTGTCTAGTTTCTTAAAGATGTCATGAGTATACTTTACTTGAAACGGCAGCCCAATATTACATGAAATAATACAATACTTTGTGTGGGCAATGAGAATATTTGATGTTCCAACGGGATGTTTGTATAGTTATCATTTATACTGAATAAAACATTAATATATATTGAATCATTAATTAATGTGGATTTATACCGAATGAAATACCTGTCCTTTGAGCACCATATATACCAAACACCTGTTTCATGAACACTCTTCATAGATCACCTATTTCTTTGTTAACTACATCTATATATTCTAAAAGCTATAACATAAAATTTTCTCTTTGAATCTACTGATCAAGAAGTGTATACTAGAATGTTATAATTCTTATTCTCAAGGAAATGTTATATGCAGTTTCGAGCTGGATTTTGCTAAAATATCCAGGGTATGTGTCCCTCCAGTAGCCATATCTTTGGTTTGTGGCAATATTTAAGCAAGGAGGAATGCTTAAATAGAGTCTCAGCTTTCCAATATTGCCAAAATCAAAGCAATCTGACAATTTGAAATGGATGTTTATTGCAGATAGATATGACCCCTGATATGTGTTAATATATATGTTGATGTATTTAAGATTTTTTCTTTATATTTTCAGATGTCCCAATGGCCTTCCAAAGACAACACTCTCAGGAATAAGGTATGGCCTTTAATTCTTTTTTTCACAAAACTCTAAATGTGCAGATAGCAGCATTAATTGTTACTGATACTTGAAAAGATGGCAGCAGCCTAGTGGCATTATTTATTACTGTTTTTTCTGCTCTTTTAAAAGATGGCAGCATCTTACTGGTTCTAAAAACTGAGATGCAAGAATATTTTGTTGCAGAAAATATGCAATTACAAATATGCAAATACAAAGATCTTTATGAAGATAATCTGATTTCCAATATTTAGGTATTTAACATTAGTACCCTATTTTGATCAGAAAGTTGTAACACAACTCATTTGTGAGTTAACGGTCAATTGTTACTAATTGTTTAGTTAATTGGATTCAAAAATTGATTCATGCAACATTTATATTTAAAATGTGTTATGTTGAACCATTTAAAACCTGTATATCTGAAGACCTCTCAATGTAAATACCTGCTAATCCAAACATTTTTACTGGCCACAGTGTTGTTCGGATTAGACAGGTTTTATTGTATTTATGCACCTCAGCTGTCATACACCAGATCTCATTTTTGGACAGGAGACCCCTACCTCGCAAAAACTCATATTTCTATATTTCTTTTTATGATATACCATGATGTAACATAAAAAAGTACGGAATTCAATTATCTAAAATCATTCGCCACACCATACCTGCTCATTTTAGGGAATTAACTTACCTTCAGAATGAGGTGTACATGCATGTACTGTATGTACTTCATATTTCTTTTTTGTGTTGTTTTTTGCCTACCCTGTATGTTATGTTGTTATTTTTTCCCCCAAAAATTGATAGAAAAAGGAAAAAACTACATGTATATATTCTCTATTCCAGATGGTTAGTTGGTTCATCAGAGATCAGCAAAGAGGATTCCAACCAGAACTACATGTATATATTCTCTATTCCAGATCGTTAGTCGGTTCATCAGAGTTCAGCAAAGAGGATTCCAACCAGAACTACATGTAATAATTCTCTATTCCAGATGGTTAGTTGGTTCATCAGAGTTCAACAAAGAGGATTCCATCCAGAACTACATGTATATATTCTCTATTCCAGTTGGTTAGTTTGTTCATCAGAGTTCAACAAAGAGGATTCCAACCAGAGCTACATGTATATATTCTCTATTCCAGTTGGTTAGTATGTTCATCAGAGTTCAACAAAGAGGATTCCATCCAGAACTACATGTATATATTCTCTATTCCAGATGGTTAGTATGTTCATCAGAGTTCAACAAAGAGGATTCCATCCAGAACTACATGTATATATTCTCTATTCCAGTTGGTTAGTTGGTTCATCAGAGTTCAACAAAGAGGATTCCATCCAGAACTACATGTATATATTCTCTATTCCAGATGGTTAGTCGGTTCATCAGAGTTCAACAAAGAGGATTCCAACCAGAACTACATGTATATATTCTCCATTACAGATGGTTAGTCGGTTCATCAGAGTTCAGCAAAGAGGATTCCATCCAGAACTACATGTATATATTCTCTATTCCAGATGGTTAGTCAGTTCATCAGAGTTCAGTAAAGAGGATACCATCCAGAACTACATGTATATAATCTCTATTCCAGATGGTTAGTTGGTTCATCAGAGTTCAGCAAAGAGGATTCCATCCAGAACTACATGTATATATTCTCTATTCCAGATGGTTAGTTGGTTCATCAGAGTTCAGCAAAGAGGATTCCAACCAGAACTACATGTATATATTCTCTATTCCAGATGGTTAGTTGGTTCATCAGAGTTCAGCAAAGAGGATTCCAACCAGAACTACATGTATATATTCTCTATTCCAGATGGTTACACTTGGTGAAATCAATAAAATAACTTATTTAGCAGTATATTAAACATTTTATTCTATATTATTTTAACTATTTTACCAAGTGTTAGTCGGTTCATCAGAGTTCAGCAAAGAGGATTCCATCCAGAACTACATGTGTATATTTTCTATTCCAGTTGGTTAGTTGGTTCATCAGAGTTCAGCAAAGAGGATACCATCCAGAACCACATGTATATATTCTCCATTACAGATGGTTAGTCGGTTCATCAGAGTTCAGCAAAGAGGATTCCATCCAGAACTACATGTATATATTCTCTATTCCAGTTGGTTAGTCGGTTCATCAGAGTTCAGCAAAGAGGATTCCAACCAGAACACAGCCATTCAGAATTCTGCTCAAAATCAAAACAAAACCTCAAAGCAAAGAGTTCCTAGCATAGAACTACCAGAATTCATGCAGCAACTTGTAGAGAAATTCAGGACATTTAAGAAACACCGCACGTGCCAACATAGACATTCCTGTCTCTCATATTGTTATGAAGTAAGCAATATTTTTCTGTTAAATCTCTCTGATTTCCACAAGTGGTGACATATTGTGATAGTCTCCAACTTTTTTGTGGGTTGTGCTCAGCATATAGTGGATGGTGTTAGGCATATGGTGGATGGTGTTAGGCATCTATAACAAATGGCAGGTGGTGACATTTTGCATGTTTATACCTGTTTAATATCTTCTTATTGAGTCTAACTGGTAAGAGAGCATCTCAAAAGTTCAATGTTGGATTGTAAACTCTATTTGCAGAGTTAATTTGTTACCCCCTCCCCCTATATTTTATTTTAGTTGATTTATATTTTATTTGCAGTGTTAAAGATACTCATGCTATAATAATATTAAAAATATCTGACCTTTCTTTATGACATCTATTACATGGCATGTCTATGTTGTTTATTTTCTGAACTTTTGTACTCCTATTTACAGAATCCACTAAAGCTGTTTGGTGTTGGCTATGCAATCCAGGCTGGAGTGAAAGTCCTCGGATCTCTGAGTAAATTGTTCAGTAACCCTAGTGCAGTAGTCAAAGCATTAATAGACAGGAATAACCTTAATCTGGGGGCTTTCCTTGCCTCTTTTCTAGCAATTTATAGGGTAAGTATAGGCCTCCTGGCTTTCTTGTAATATATAAGAAAAGTATCACCTTCTTTGGCTCTTGCATAGACCACAGTTATCATATACAGGGTGTCCCGAAAGTATGGGCCCCCCTAGGCAGACTTATATCAATGTCTCCATAGTATGTATCATATTAAAGCTTATCCAAAGTTACATTGATTTGCCAAGTATCATTGTTCAACTCACAAATGGGAAAAAGTTACAGGCATTTCAAAAATTAGTGTTTTGCCAAAATTAAATGCTTTTCATATATTACCTTAAACACAGTTCAAATAGGGATGTGGCATTTTGTTATCCTCATGAAACCTTTTAAGGGCATTTTAGAAGAGTTTCCTTGGGGTATCTACCCTCAACATCATCTTTTTAGAACTCAATATCCATCCTTTCTTCAACAGTAGCACCCATATTTTTGGTCACATTCAGGTCAGGGCTGTTTCAATGATTCTGAAAAGAACTAAATTTTTGGCCAAACACTAAGTTTTGAAATGCCTGTAACTTTTTACCACTTGTGAGTTGAACCATGATACTTGGCAAATCAATGTAAATTTGGATAAGCTTTAAACTGATATATGACACATACTATGGAGATATTGGTATATGTCTGCCTAGGGGGGACATACTTTAGGGAGACCCTGTACATACTCCCTCTGTAAAGAAAAAAGTGGTAACATATTGTTATAGTCACCATCTTTTTTGTGGACTGCTTTCGGTGGTTGTGTTCAGTAGTTGGTGTTCCATGTGTGGTGTCACATGTAACAAATGGCAGGTGGTGACATTTTGCATGTTATGTTAATACAGGTTCTAACTAATTCTAATAACTATTTCTAGGTTATGTGCTTGTGGATATTTAAGATGACAACATAGAGAAATTTGAAACTAGAAAATGCTATCCCATCCTCTTTATCACCAAAAATTGTGTTAATCACTAGGAAATCTCTCAAAGTACTCATGTCACTTGTTAAGCTTATACATTATATAGAAATAACATTTTTTGTTTGTATTGCATTATAGACAGTATTATGCAGTTTACGATGGATGAGGGACCATGACAGTGAGGCCCATGGGCTAGTAGCTGGATTCCTTGCAGGATGGTCCATGGGCTTCTATAAGAGCACAACCATAGCGTTATACCTAGCATCTAAGCTAGCAGAGGTAATGTTATAGTCCCTAATACCCCTGCTCTATGGAACATCCTTATGAAACTGAAATATGAAATCATTGGATTGTTAGCTGATATATCATAATCTAGTATCATTAAGTGATTATATCTACTAGTATAGTAGGAACAAGGGGTTCCCATGCACCCATAAGGTGTGAATAAGTCACATACATTTTTGTAATCCCTAGGGTGTCTATTTAATGAATTCATTTGTTAACATTGCCAACTAATGTCCCATAGTACTTTTATGGCGGCATTCAGTTACCATGGTTATGCATCTTTAGACATCTTACCTTGGTATCTTAAATCATTTGTAGCTCTGTCATTATTTGGTCTATAGAAATGATATTGGTACCAAATTGAACCTCGTTAAATTTTCAATAAATTTCTGATATTCAATTATGCAAATTATCTAATTTGCATAAATTATGACGTCATCAATCTATTTTTGGTTCAGAATTTCCAACTATAGCAACGTATCTATTAGAACTGAGGCTGTATGGCAAAATTTCTGAACGGTTTTGTCCTTTATTCTATTAGAAGAAGGTATAAGCAACATAAAAGTGAAAACAGATTCAAAATTGAATCAGTATTACGAAAGTTATGTAACTTTCGAGGCAGCTATCGTGAATGTCATTATTTGACAATACTATACATACATCTTACCTTGGAGTCTTGAATCAATGTAGCTTCGCCATTATTTGGTCTATAGAGATGATATTGGTATCTAATTAAACCTTATTAAATTTACTATATGGTTACAATATTCAAGTATGCAAATTAGCTTATTTGCATTAATTGTGACGTCATCAATCCATTTTTGGTTCAGAATATCCTAGTATAGCAACATATCTATTAGAACTGAGGCCGTATGACAGAATGTGTGCATAGTTTTGTCCCTTATTTGATGAGTGGAAGATATAAGCAACATTAAAGAGACAACAAATCTTCAAAATTGGATCAGAATTAACAAAATTATCCAGCTTTGGAGGCAGCTACTGTGAACGTCATTGTTTGACAATTATAAAAAGAATATTAAATTAACAAAAAAAGTAGTTTCAATCTTATTGAGTAAAAATGTGCATGTATTGAACTGAACTAATAAGTATGTGGAAAGCTTACATGTATTTTGACTATCATTCACAGGGGTCAAAACGGTTATCTCGACCCTGTATATTAAAGATCCAATTTTATAATTTACCATGCACTTTCAATGATTCATATAAATAGTATACATATAGTCTGATTTTCATCATATTCTTCATATTCTTGATTCTTAAAGTATCTGAAGTATAAAGCATGATTAGAAGTGAAGATGATTCATCATATGGTTTATGTAATATTTCTAACATTTCAGATGCTATGGTAACATCACTTGATAATGAGGTTTTTACATTTCACGTTCTAATGAGTTAGAAGAAAGTTATTCTCCCTTTGCTTTAGAGATAAATAGTCACATGAATTTGTTTAAAAAAATTATAACTTAATTTAACCCCCTCCATATTTGAAGATTTTGGTGAAGCCTGACAAAATACATTAATTATTAGGTTCCAGAAGCCCCTAGAAGCTATATGATGGCCCCCAGTGGCCCCAAGAATGTATACAGGGGCCCCAAGTGGCCCCCAGAAGGTAAACGAAGGCCCCCAGAAGCTATACAAGGGCCCACAGAAACTATACTGTGGTCTCCAGAAGCTATATGGTGGCCCCCAGTGGCCCTCAGAAGCTATATGATGGCCCCCAGAAGCTAATTAGTGGCCCCCAGGAGCTATATGATGGCACCCAGAAGCTATACAGGGAACCCCAGTGGCCCCAAGAAGCTATACGATATAGATTCTTGGGGCCATTGTGTAGCTTCTGGGAACCACCATGTAGCTCCTGAGGGTCACTATTTAGCTTCTGGGGGCCATCATATAGCCTATGAGGGCCACTGGGGGCCACCGTATAGCTTCTAGGGGCTACTGGGGGCCCTTCACATCTTCTGGGAGCCATTGGGGGCCATCATATAGATTCTTGGGGCCATCATGTAGCTTTTTGGGGCTCCTGTATAGCTTCTGGGGGCCATCGTTTAGCTTCTTGGGGCCACTGGGGTCCCCTGTATAGCTTCTGGGAGCCACCGTATAGCTCCTGGGGGCCACTAATTAGCTTCTGGAGGCCATCATATAGCTTCCGAGGGCCACTGGGGGCCACCATATAGCTTCTGGAGACCATAGTATAGTTTCTGGGGGCCCTTGTATAGCTTCTGTGGGCCATAGTATAGCCTCTGGGGGCCCCCGTGTAGCTTCTTGGGGCCACCGTTTAGCTTTTGGGGGCCACTGGGGGCCCCTGTATAGCTTCTGGGCGCCACCGTATAGCTCCTGGGGGCCACTATTCAGCTTCTGGGGGCCAACATATAGCTTCTGGGGAGCACAGTATAGCTTCTTGGGGCTACTTGGGGCCCCTGTATAGATTCTTGGGGCCACTGGGGGCCATCATAAAGCTTCCGGGGGCTTCTGGAACCTAATAATTAATGTATTTTGCCAGGTTTCACCAAAATCTTCAAATATGGGGGCTGTCAGGGGGGGGGGTTAAATTAATTAAGTTATAATTTTTCTAAACAAATTCATGCGACTATTTATCTCTAAAGCAAAGGGAGAATAACTTCCTTTTAACTCATTAAGAACGTGAAATGTAAAAACCTCATTATCAAGTGATGTTACCATAGCATCTGAAATGTTAGAAATATTACATAAACCATATGATGAATCATCTTCACTTCTAATCATGCTATATACTTCAGATGCTTTAAGAATCAAGAATATGAAGAATATGATGAAAATCAGACTATATGTATACTATTTATATGAATCATTGAAAGTGCATGGTAAATTATAAGATTGGATCTTTAATATACAGGGTCGAGATAACCGTTTTGACCCCTGTGAATGATAGTCAAAATGCATGTAACCTTTCCACATACTTATTAGTTCAGTTCAATACATGTACATTTTTACTCAATAAGATTGAAACAACGATGGTTGTTACTTTTTTTGTTAATTTAATGTTCTTTTTATAATTGTCAAACAATGACGTTCACAGTAGCTGCCTCCAAAGCTGGATAATTTTGTTAATTCTGATCCAATTTTGAAGATTTGTTGTCTCTTTAATGTTGCTTATATCTTCCACTCATCAAGTAAGGGACAAAACTATGCACACATTCTGTCATACGGCTTCAGTTCTAATAGATATGTTGCTATACTACGATATTCTGAACAAAAAATGGATTGATGACGTCACAATTAATGCAAATAAGCTAATTTGCATAACTTAATATTGTAACCATATAGTAAGTTTAATAAGGTTTAATCAGATACCAATATCATCTCTATAGACCAAATAATGGCGAAGTTACATTGATTCAAGACTCCAAGGTAAGATGTATGTATAGTATTGTCAAATAATGACATTCACGATAGCTGCCTCGAAAGTTACATAACTTTCGTAATACTGATTCAATTTTGAATCTGTTTTCACTTTTATGTTGCTTATACCTTCTTCTAATAGAATAAAGGACAAAACCGTTCAGAAATTTTGCCATACGGCCTCAGTTCTAATAGATACGTTGCTATAGTTGGAAATTCTGAACCAAAAATAGATTGATGACGTCATAATTTATGCAAATTAGATAATTTGCATAATTGAATATCAGAAATTTATTGGAAATCCAACGAGGTTTAATTTGGTACCAATATCATTTCTATAGACCAAATAATGACAGAGCTACAAATGATTTAAGATACCAAGGTAAGATGTCTAAAGATGCGTAACCATGGTAACTGAATGCCGCCATAAAAGTACTATGGGACATTAGTTGGCAATGTTAACAAATGAATTCATTAAATAGACACCCTATGGATTACAAAAATGTATGTAACTTATTCACACCTTATGGGTGCATGGGAACCCCTTGTTCCTACTATACTATACCAATAAATGCAATTTCATGAATGATGTTCATGCTATTTATAAGTAAATTGTTGAAATAACTAAAATGTTGAACATTTTCCATTCAAATGCCCACCTCTTGTACACACCTATTCTCCATGTAATATCACAATGTATTCAATTTTATGTATAATTTACACATCTTTATGTTATGAAATGTTTGCAGACAATGTACATGAAGGGTGTAGACCAGGGTTCCCTCCCACATATACGCTGGGCAGATATACTTCTCTATTCACTGGCCACCTCATTTGTCTTCCATGCTGTAAGTATGCTGTACCTGTCAAATTTTATCAATAAATAGTGGGACACAAAAACTTCTGAAACTTTTTAAAGCCATCCAGAAAAAAGTCCAAGTCATGCAAAACAATATTGCTACTTCAAAAACTCGAAATAAAAGTGGTAAATTACTCAATAATTAATAATTAAACCCCATCGATCTTCATATAATATGATGGTAATTATATTTTTCAAAATGGCCATGAGTTCTTAGAGTTCATAGTTTTTTGTAATGCAGAATGGCACTGAAAGCATAGTCTCCATTTGTATTCTAATATATCACTTGCCAAATGATTTATTACATAAGTCTTTATTTTTAGGCTGTCTTTGAACCACACAATCTACGACCAGCTTACTGGAAGTTTCTACTGAGGCTCACAAATAATAGGTAATACTGGTTGAAATTATAGTTATCTCAGAGAATAAAGTTCTAGAGGAATATAGGATAGTCACTTGTCTGTCCGTCAATTTGTTCATTTGTTCGGAAAAAGATGGCTGAATTCAAATTCTGAATCTGAAATCAAATGGCCGACAAAAGGAGACAATATAATACGACTGAAGCATATTTGTATGAATCATGATTAATTCAATAAGATATTGTTTGTTCGATGAGATTTGCTACTCCATGGAGTTTTTTCAAGTTAAAAAATCAATAGTCACATATTTCATTTAAGAACTATAACTACATATTCTACATTCTCAATTGAAATTACTCAAGTGAGATTTATCAACTGCCAATAAAGACTTATAGTTTAGGTTATATATTACTACATGAATGTTTTATATATTATACTATGCATTACAGGGTATCAAATTAGTCCCTTCCCTGCTCCAACTAAAACCCCAAAATATGGTACTTAGTGTGATAAATTATGCATGATATATTATATTATGTATTATAGATTTGCTCACCCCAATCGGGATCTGCTTTTGGATTGGAAAACCAGGGCAACCCAAATGTTTCCTGATTTTGTACCACAGCTTGATGTCAAATTCTGCCCAAGCTTGCTGCCAAGCTTAGAAAAGATCAATATGAAGATGACACTTTAAAATGCCATAGAAAATGGCATGGTTATCCTGAACTTCTTTTAATGTGTCATGGTTATTGTTAAAGTGTGTTTGTTTGAGTTAAAATTTAGATATTTCATTAATTTAGATAGAATTTTGAAGGTTACTAATGAGCATTTTGAAAATGTTCTTAGTCAGCAAAAGGCATGGAGAGCAATATGGTTTTAATATATCCATGTTATAGGAAATATCGGAAGATGACCTTTTTCATTCTATAAGGTATTGTGACTGTGATTCTAATTAAATGAAAGGCCATATGAGTTACAGTAAAACCTGTGTATATTGAACATTTTTTGCCAAGAATAACAGTGTTCAGTGTTGGTAGGTGTTCATTACAAAGATGGTAATTTACACAGAAGTCAGTAGAGTATGTGCAGAGGAATGGTGTCCACTAAAGATTGGTGTTCACTTGAGAGAGGTGTTCACAAGACACATTTTACTGTATACTATGCACTATTATTAGTGTTTATTTACAAGTATATATTAATATTTAATTGTTGCATTTATAGTCCACAGATTTAGAGAATTTAGAAATATTTATGGACTAACTGTAATTTACAAAAATTAGAGCTTGTTATCCCAACTATCAAAGTTTGGTTGTGATATAGGGAAGTCATATGATGCAATTTTCCATTATTCATTTGGGTAATTTACATTTTTTCATAAAGCCTGACACAAATGGCAAAAATGGTAGTGATTTAAAAAATGACTTTATTTACTTTGATTTAAGATGAGTGTTTAATAAAGATGAAGATTAAAAGATTAAAAAATATGTAGATTTGCTACAAAACAGCCACTCCAAGTATGACTGCATTTGAATGTGTTTTAGATTAGATTGCATTATTATGTTGTTACAGGGCTCAAATAAAGGAATTTGGCTGAATTTCCAGATCAATACTATATACCAAATATGGTGTTGTCTTTTTATTCATTTTTGCAATCTAGACCATTTACATGTATGTTCAAAAGAAGGAATCTGAAATTGCCAATAATGATTTGGGAAAACAAATTTTGTTTTTTGGGATTTGCTACTCATTTTGAGTGCCATTTTCTGAAACATCTGCTTTTTATTATATTACAACTGCTGCTGATTCAGTATACATTTTTATAGAGGTTTTTGATTTTTCTAAAACTTTCATATATTCCATGCACTGGTTTTATCTTCCACAGCTTTTTGAATTGTATGTCATGTATATGTCGTATTTAGTCACGCATACAGAAAATGTTATCATTTTAAAGTAGTATAAAGTAATTTAGGTGAATTCTGGATTTTTATGTTGAAATTAAATACAATTCTAATTAAAAATAGCCGTTATAGTTAAATAGCACACTTACTATCCATGTGTACTGAAGGGTCAAAAATACTTGATACTTCAGGTCTAAATAGGGTATTTTGTTGCATTTTGCATTGATGTTGTTCTTGTTGGAATCATCATTATTAGTATTGTTGTGATATTGTTTGAAATTTCAGCTAATTGTGGAAAAAATTGAACCTAAGAATGAATCATATTGGTTTCATGTGGCAGAATTTGACATCAAACATGTGGATATAATCATTATTTTATTGCAGGATTAACTAGTTCAGTATTCATGTACAGGATGGACAAAAAAAAAATGACTACATTTGAAAATGAAGTTATCTGAATATAAAATTGATTATGAACAAAACAAATGATAAATAAATTAAGCCAAGTCACACACTTTCCTGAATTATTGATTATAAGTAGCAAATTCAAAATGTGCAATATGTATGCATAATGGATGAAATCACAACAAACTACCCCCATGCAATTCAATATAAAAAATCAACTTTTCTCGAAATTTTTAGAGCATGCATTTTATGATTTTATAACGTTACGCCATTGATATACAACATTTTGTTGGACATTAGATAATTATCTTTCTTTTGATACATCTTAAATTACTTATGTACATATATTTAATAGGCTAATTTTTTTTCAAAATGTGGTCCTACTTTTTGCCCATCCTAGACATGAGGTCGTGAGTTGAGACATGTAGGCTCCTTGTGTTTATTCATTCATTCATTCATTGGTACATTGTGTAATCACTTCTGTTGTAGGTTTGGTCAAATGAATAGAAGGCTACTCGATGTTTATGGAACAAATGCTTCAAAACTTTTTAGTGACTTTCAACCACATTTTGATCCAAGGTTTACCAGTTTAAGCAGTTGAAACCTCTCATACACTGGAAGTAAAGTGTCTAATAATGGCTATTTTACAATATGCTACAATAAGGGTGGAGAAAAAGGGATATTAAAATTTAAAAAAAATTAAAATGATGAAATTATCTGTATGTGCGAATACAGCTTTGTTATTATGCCATCACCAAGAAGTGGTAACATACCACAATGGGCTCCATTATTAAGCCAGTAATCTGCATCTATAACATCACACATTATAAGTTTGACAAAATCTGTTTCTGATAAGAAAAAGCCAGAAGGTTACAAAATATCTGTTACAAAACATTGGATTGACTTTAAATCTATACTGTGTACACATTGCAATGCAATCTGTGATATCTTTAAAATTTGGACAATATTAGTTGTAATGAATGATGGATAAGTTGACACTCAAGAAATGATTACAACCAGGTGGTGGCATTCATCACGGAAATGCCTTTTATAAGATTGGAGCAGTATGATCAATGTTTTAGTTTCATCTATGCAGTAATTGGTTTCAATATATTCAGGGTTGCATCATTTGTAAGCTGCATTGTTTGTAAGCTGCAACATTTGTTAGCTGCAGTGTTTGTAAACTGCAGCATTTGTAAGATACAACATTTGTAAGCTACAGTGTTTGTAAACTGCAGCATTTGTAAGATACAGCATTTGTAAGCCACAGTGTTTGGAAACTGCAGCATTTGTAAGCTACAGTGTTTGTTAGCTGCAGCATTTGTAAGCTGCAGTGTTTGTAAGCTGCAGCATTTGTAAGCTACAGTGTTTGTAAAGTGCAGCATTTGTAAGATACAACATTTGTTAGCTGCAGGAATTGTAAGCTACAGTGTTTGTAAGCTGCAGCATTTGTAAGCTGCAGTGTTTGTAAGATACAACATTTGTAAGCTGCAGGAATTGTAAGCTACAGTGTTTGTAAGCTGCTGCATTTGTAAGCTACAGTGTTTGTAAGCTGCAGCATTTGTAAGCTGCAGTGTTTGTAAGCTGCTGCATATGTAAGCTACAGTGTTTGTAAGCTGCAGCATTTGTAAGCTACAGTGTTTGTAAACTGCAGCATTTGTAAGATACAGCATTTGTAAGCCACAGTGTTTGGAAACTGCAGCATTTGTAAGCTACAGTGTTTGTAAGCTGCAGCATTTGTAAGAAGAAACATTTGTAAGCTACAGTGTTTGTAAGCTGCAGCATTTGTAAGCTGCAGTGTTTGTAAACTGCAGCATTTGTAAGATACAACATTTGTAAGCTGAAACATTTGTAAGCTACAGTGTTTGTAAGCTGCTGCATTTGTAAGCTACAGTGTTTGTAAGCTGCATCATTTGTAAGCTACAGTGTTTGTAAGCTGCAACATTTGTTGGCTGCAGTGTTTGTAAACTGCAGCATTTGTAAGATACAACATTTGTAAGCTACAGTGTTAGCAAGCTGCAGCATTTGTAAGCTACAGTGTTTGTAAGCTGCAACATTTGTAAGCTGCAGTGTTTGTAAGCTGCAGCATTTGTAAGCTGCAGTGTTTGTAAACTGCAGCATTTGTAAGATACAACATTTGTAAGCTGAAACATTTGTAAGCTACAGTGTTTGTAAGCTGCAGCATTTGTAAGCTACAGTGTTTGTAAGCTGCAACATTTGTTGGCTGCAGTGTTTGTAAACTGCAGCATTTGTAAGATACAACATTTGTAAGCTACAGTGTTAGTAAGCTGCAGCATTTGTAAGCTACAGTGTTTGTAAGCTGCAGCATTTGTAAGATGCAACATTTGTAAGCTACAATGTTTTTAAGAAGCAACATTTGTAAGCTGCAATGTTTGTAAGCTGCAGCATTTGTAAGATACAGTGTTTGTAAGCTGCAGCATATGTAAGCTGCTGTATTTGTAAGGTAAGCTTATAATCTTGGTAATCACTATAAGGATTATGTTTCCATAAAGGTACAATCGGAGATAGCAAGAGGAGATAGCAATGTCATTCCTGTCATCTCTGATTCTAGCTTAAAACAAGTTAAAATAACCTGCTCATAATGATAAATGAATGTAACCAAAGATTTGATTAAATGTATTTGTATTTTGTCCAATGAGGCATTTTTATAATTGGTTTATTTCAATTATTGCACAAGGATCACGTGGTCCTAACTTTGACCGTTAATTTGAATTTTTTAACAGCTGGGGACCAAAACGCTGCTAGAACGAGGGACTCTTAACAATAAAGTAATGCACCGACAGAAAGGCAATTTTGTTTTGCTTTTAATGGTATAAGTTTAAAGAAAAACGGTGCAGAATGAGACTCGCAATCCTTGATTTTCAAGCACCTGGTAGGTCAAAAATTCAAATTAACGGTCGAAGTTAGGACCGCGTGAAGGATGATCATTGTTCATTGTCAAATTTTTTATGAAATTATTTTTCTACAATATACATGTAAATATAAATCACAATTTTACATCACATTATTTGTTGTACGTATTAATCCATTGTGATTGTTTCATTTCCACCCAGTACTGTGGCGTCATATTCAAGAAGAATGAAAATGAGTGACATCCAACATACAGTTTCAGATGAAATGTTTATTTACTGTTGTTATTTCACCAATACTTTTCCATATTTTTATCAGATAAATGCTATTGACTGCTCATAAATATTTATCTTAATATGTATTAGTGCAAAATTTTGAATGAAACCATTTAAATTTTGTAACTGTTAATAGTTTGAAGTTTCAAAAATCTTAAGATAGACAAAGATTAACCAGAATGAAGAGTGCTCTTTATTTCAACAATGTCATCACACGAAAAATGAATTCTTATTGTAAATGGTCAGTTGATCACTTTAAACTGAGTAATTACTTGGAACTGTGCGATAAAATCTGGAAATCTTCACATTTTTTGTGTTCCAATATTAAGGTTTTTATTTGACAGGTTGGACCGCTTTAAATCAGTTCACGTTTAAAAGATGGCAGTAGTGCATTCTTATTAGTATAGTAATACCTGCTCTGGTGATTGTCTCTGATCGGTTTCTAAGTCTTTATTCCTTAATAGCTAAGTTAACAAAATATGCACAAAAGACTTAACCCTGAAGTGCCTTAGATATAGTCAACTAGATTATGTTGCTTTTAAAATTCTTCAAACAATTCATTATTTTGTTTACTGGATTATCCTACTTAAGATTAGTCTTTAAAATAATTTCTATTGATGAAGTATTTTCTCATTCCCATTTTTATTTTTTTCATATTCTTAACCAATCTCAATACATGTTTAAAACCCTGAAAGTCAAATGTGATCATTTTTGATTTTGAAAGTTTATTTTTCTCCTACACTGTGTAATTGAACATGGATCTGAAATGCCACTGTTTGTCTGAATGATTAGAACTTCATTGTTTGGAAACTTTGTTGCTATGCTAGGATTGGTCGCCACACAATGTTTGGTTATGGCGTTCTACCACAAACTTCAGTTCACCTTGATATCATTTATTTGTTGGATTTAAAAATGAAGCTGGATAACTCATATTTCCATATAGCAGTTTTAACAAAGATCTATAATGAATTAGAAGGTTGAATTAATTGATTGGAATTATACAGTTTATAACATTACTATTGATTTCATTTGATTTGATATTCATTTCATGTTCAATAACATAGCGGGTTAACTTCAAATTTGCTTACTGGTCATGTGACTAGCAACAAGGTGAGGTTAATCAAACATGGCGACAAAGGCATAAACAGCATGTAGTAAGCACTCACTACAATACTATAGTGAAATATATAGCTGCTCGGATATCACTAAGAACATCTTAGATAAAATAAGGTAGGTTTAAGTGTTTTTTGTGTCATTTTCTTCATATTTTCATGGAGAACAACTAGTTTAATGTAGTAAGTAACATTTGGAGAGGTTTTTTAAGTTATAATGGTGTAAAAATAATGTTTAGTGGTTACAAAACTATTGACATATTTGAAGTTTCGATTATAGGTCATTAATTTGAAAAAATGCTATTAGTTATGGTTTCCTGGTCTGGGTTATAATATGTTCAATACAACTATATTTTTATGTGATGTGATATCTTGAATGAATTATAGCAAAAATTGAACTTAAATAATACATTGAGAAAGTTGTAATGTCCTAGATATGACTAACCTAAAGGTAAAAATTATTTTTCATTGATGTTAAACTTTTGTCATGATTGAGCTATTTGCAATATGTTGCTTTAACAAAACAAGTTAATTATAAACACCTATACCTTGGTATATGCCATGTCAAATATATGGACATTAGTTAGGTATTGTGTTATTTTGACCCTCAGGTTAAGCCTGCACTACATAGTTTGCAGTCATATTTTTGATTCATTTGTCAAAATTTCTGGTGTTATTTTGAATGAATTTTGTTGTTTGATGAAAAGGCATTGCCACACTTTTACACATTTCAACATCTGTAGTATATATGAGTGTTTCTCTATAGCAGCCTTAAATTTTAAGCCTATTTCACCTAAATTCCACATAAACTGTACATATAAGACTCTTAATATAAGTACATTGACTATTTTACAACAAATCAAAAAATGTCATTAAATCCACCACTTGATGAAAGTCTGACTGTTGAGTATTAAACAAATTGATTGCAAGACACCCTCACAATCTTAAACTACTTTGACATTAGACAAGTGTGAAATCATCAGTATGCAACATTAGAAAAAATACTTCAGCAATAAGCTGAAGCTTTGCAATTTCTAGACTGACTACCTGGACAAACGCAATTACATTCCATACAGCAGTATAAAATGAATTAAACATTGATTGAAAACATTATCAAGTTTAAGTAGCTTTACTGTTACCATAGTAACCAACTATGTTTACATTTGTGTTATTGAAATCCACATATTTCATGACATTTTACTCGATACGGTGTCATGATTTCAAATAATATGTTGAATAAATTGGATGTTTGTGCCAGTAATACAAAAATATCAAGGGACTGTATATGCTATTGGGAGAAAATACATTGTTCAGTCCTTTTCTTGATTAGTTCCATAAATCGAGATTGATAAATTGAGTTGAGGTATAACCTTTACTTATATTTCTTAATGGTCTCTGCTCTATATATAATAATATAGAGATCATTAATCATAGGACTTAAACAGGCACCATTTGCCACAATTTCACTATTTCCTGTAATGGCACTATTTGCTACAATGGTTCTATTTGCCACAAAGACACTATTTCCTAAAATGGCACTATTTTCTACATTGGTACTATTTTCCACACATCACTTTGTCTTATTGAAACGGACTACCTGGTTGCCTGATATAAATGTTCAATAAATCTTCTACTTACTTAACATTAATAATGAAAAATAGACAATTAAGTATCATGTTGCGCACAGGTATCATGAAATATTGCAGATTATGAGCTACGGTTGTGCTAAATGGCCAATAGAAAGAAATGTTGATGAATATTATTACAGGCTTTTTCCTATAAAGCTTAAACTTCATCAAAGGTGCAAGAATACAAAATGATTCAGCTCAGTTTAAATTATCCCTGGATGTCCTATTGTACTCTATGAGATATTTATAACTTAGATTATAAATCCTAATAAACTATCATGGATTAAAGCTATCTCTACATTATCCTCTGTTAAGATAGTTTAATGAGATAATTAAATCTTTGTCATTCAAGGTAGAAATTGTATTCTTATGAAATAAGTATGATTTGGAACGAAATGTGGCATAATATTGAGATTATTTGCATAATACTAATCACTTGATATCCTATTTTCCAGACATTGTTTAGCATCACAGAGCACAACATTACCCAGAATTCAACATGGGTTGCGGCAGCAGCAAGTCCATGTATCATGATGATGCTAATGCTGATGAGATAGTTGAAATGCTCGCAGAAAAACGACGTAGGAAAAAGGAACAAAAGGAAAGGAAAGATGTAACTGTACATAACGTCTCACAATATAACCAGCAACATGTTGAAGCTGGAAGTTCAGGCGAACATGAACGACTTTTACGCACATCAGATTGGGTGCAGCGTAATCCAGCACCTACACCAGTCACACGTCGTGAGAGACGTGCACAGCGCCTGAGGGAACAACAAGCCGCTGAAGCAGAAACAAGTTCTGATTCGTCAGAGTCTGAGTCGTCATCAAGCGAGGATGAATCATCAGAATCTGAACATGAATCTGAGAAAGAAAAACATGAATTTGAAAATGCAGAAAAGGCATTACCTCAAGAGGAACAAATTGTCACTACTCAAGCTAACACCAGTGGACAAACTATCAACCTTACAATTCACCTGGAGTCTCCACAGAAAGAACTCAATGTAAATGTACCTATCAATACACCAGCAGCCCCAAGCCCTGAACCAATCATGTCAAGTACATACAAAGAAGATAAGTCCAGCTGTACAAATGATACTAGTATTGCATCCATAACACAAACACATATTGAGATTGTGCCCACTAATGAAACAGGAACTCAAATGGACCTGGAGAGCCCACGATCAGTGCCCTCTGTTGAGAAGAAAAAGAAGAAGAAAGAGAAAAAGAAACACAAGAAGGTCAGACATCGGGAAGAAGAAATTGAAGAGGATGTTGGTTTCACTGATAGTTTCTCTCAAACTGAAACTTGGATTGGGGAGTTGAGGAAACGCATGTCCAGGTTACATCAAATGGAAGACTTTTGTATGGGGTCTCCATTTGAGGACCTCATGTGGGTGTCTAAACTGATCTACACGAGCTCAAGGGAAGAACTTAGAGCTGAAATGGTTAAGAAAGTTTATGAATTAGGGATCATTGAGATTGTTATCAAACTATGGGACTCTGTTACCCAAAATGGATTTGTTGCATCCGAAAATTACATCGCTGTGAAGAACTTAAAACGGGCTGTATCCATCATGTGGAATAGCTCAGATCTTTCAAAGGAATTCTGTCAAACCTTGGTGGATAGGGGAGTTGTGCAAAGACTGTTCCTTGGGCTTATGCATCCCAGGATGGACATCACAAGTGTGAAAACAGACAATAAAGTGTTTATCGCAAAAGGCAGTTTATCAATCCTGCATAATATCATCAGGCAATGTGATTCCCGGGATGTCTATAGGGGCGTGCGTGCAGTTGAAATTCTAATGAAATGTCGGAAATCAGAAAATGATGGAGTTCGACTCAGATCTGACATTCTATTGTGTTATATCATCAACCAAGATGAAAACAGTATCATAAACTCTGATGACCACAATATAGCACTTATTATCAAAATATTAGCGTCATCTTTAAAATCATCCAACCATTTTACGAGAAAATATGGATTTTGTGCTGCTGAGGTGACAGAGGCTTTGGATCATCTAGCTGTGCATGAATCAAATAAGGAGAAGATTGTACGCAATAGTGGCCTGACATATTTGGCAAAGTTACTCAAGGAAGATTGTTCGGTTGAGGAGCAGTTGTTAGCAGCCAGGGGGTTCTGGACACTGGGCTTCAACAAGGAATGCAAGAGACATATAAACCAAGAGCCAGGAGTGATTGAGGGTAAGTATATACATACATGAACATTTCATGTACATCATGTTTATTTCAACCTTGTTGGTACATTCCTCATACATTTGCCAACGTTATGAGCACAATGTTTGCCTATTTCAATGTTAATGGAAAAACTGAAACCTGCAAAATTATATAAAGTAAGAGGGATTTATTATAACTGGTAAGTTTTGTCATTAACAGCAAAGTAGAGGAACTAGAATCATTTACCACATTCTATAATCATTTAATTGCACTGCTAATGAATTATAAATATTATTCATTGGAGTATTAGGAGAATATCACTGGGCTTAAATAATTAATGCTCCTCGATAAATTATCATCTTCCATCACTGCGTTCCTAACTTGCTGTTTGATTTCAGTAGCAATGTACAAGAGAAGTTAACAATTGAATAATAAATAGAGTGAAAGAATAAATAAAAACAATGTCCCTATTCCAATATCACAGGTAGGGATCAAATTCGCCCCTTCCCGTTCATACCGCCGTTTTCCGTAGAGGTTACCGCGCCTTCGAGTAGAAATACCGCCCCTTCGAGTAGAAATCACGGACAGGTAGGTCATAGAACTGCATCTAAATCGTAATTCACAATAATTATCCGATCTGTTTATGGTCTAATAAGTTGAATCACATATTTATCTACCATTTTCACCCATGTCCCACGCCAGCTTACCTCAAGTTTCTTCATAAACGGGCGCACAGTCGGGAATTATCATTCGAAAATCTCTCGTGGCCAGTTGTTTTGGTAAAACTCGTGTTTGTATTAGTTCCCCCAGCTACCACATATAATTGGAATTGTGCCATGAATGTTAAAGATAATATCCTTTTGTTCGTTCATATAATATTCCATCCCATTTGACGATCAACACAATTTGACACGAAGCTCCACTGTTTCTTTGTAACAGTTCCACACCTTATTAGTAGGTGTACTGTACGTACATTGAATATTGATTCCAGTTCATCTGCTGGCATATGTTAATGTATATGTACAGTATATGTTTATATGTATATATTATATATATTGTATATATGTATATGTTTATGTTAAAGGCCCATGGGCGTTTATTTGAAAGTGGGGTGTATGAAAAGGTTTTTCCCTCTTTAAAAAGGTAACTCGTCAACTCAACCCCAAGTCAACTCAACCCAAGTCAAGTCAACCCTTAGTCAACTCGACCCCAAGTCAAGTCAACCCTTAGTCAACTCGACCCCAAGTCATCTCAACCCTTGGTCAACTCAACCCTTAGTCAACTCGACCACACCATATTTAAATATCTATAAAAACAATTAGATGTACCTTTCATTATGATATTGATGAATTTTGAAAGAATTAGGGATAAATTAGAAACTAGATATAAATCGGAAATGTTAAGTAATTTTCTGAATTTATTGATTGTAAAAAAGTTAGGTGAATTAATTCTAAAAGATTAAATCATATTTGTTTTATCTAGAGAAGTTTATGCTAAACACTTTTAATTTAACAATTTATAATTTTTATGAATATGACATTTATTTACCAAAATAATACGTGATTAATATGAGTATAGTTTTAACAGAATTAGCCTAGCCTATCTTAATAGGGCTATTCACGATGCTATTCATATATTTCACACCTTCAAGGTAAATTGGCTGGCTATTGGATTAACTTTCCAATATAAATTTGTTTATTAAAAATTATTTCAAATAAATGCCCAGTTGGCAAAACATTCGAGAAAAGGGATGAAATTGCGAATAGTACATATGTAAGGTAATACGTGATTAATGTCGTTCAAGTACAAATGATTAATAAAAATGAGGTCACATATTGGTCAACGTTTTTGACCACGTTCGTGATCATACTAGTGCGTGAGTATGAAGGCCATGTGTCAACTATACAATCGATAATATCCCCCTAGCTATTCCTCTAAATAAACGCCTATCCTCCTTGGAAAATTGTTTTCTGCTTCTTAATATAGGCCCATGGGCGTTTATTAAAAATTCTTTCAAATAAACGCCCTGTGCAAAATAAACGCCCGTAGGCCTATTCGCGAGAGAGAGTAAAGAATAACTTGTAGATTTGTGATCATAACCACTGGCGAATCCAGAAGTTAACAAGGGGGGGGGGTGTACATTTCAAATCCAAAAACTTTGAATGCCCATTTTTGATAATTTGACCTAAAAAGGCCCACTGCAAAAATTTTGGGCACACAATTGTTTGTGGGCCCCGGAAGTTTGGCTCATTAACATAAATGTGACGACGTTTTTGCACTTTAACCAACCAGGACAGCAGAGGTTTTGATTTTCGTGGCCTCTTTGTTTAAATGTTTACGACATAAAGGTGAGAAGTTCTGCTGTATTTTATTGCAATTCTTTAAAAATCGATGGGCTGCGATTTGAGAAATTCTAATCTATTTACATAGACTATGATTTGTATCGTTTGTATCGTTTTTGAAAGAACTCTAAAAACGACACAAATCACGTGTAAATAGTTCTCTGTGATCTGAACTTTGCCAATTTAACATTAATCTGAATAAAAGGAGAGTTCTACCTAACTGAAACCAAAATACGATTAAGGTGCGTAATCCAAAAACGAAAACGGCGGAATTTGACAGAAACTGTAAAGTCGAAACAATGCTGGTATAACAGGTATATATTCTTATACATTTAGCCATTTAAACAGTAAAATCAATCAAATTTTACGTTGGACGAGGTGTGAAGGAACAAAAATGACCCCAAATCCAAGAAAAACGTACTTAACTGAAATGGTGGATGTCAGGGGGTAATTTGTGTGCTGTCCTACGAGCAACCTAGACATATGTAAGTACCCTTAAAAACGTAGATGATATGAAACACATTCCTCTAACTGAATATACTATGAAGAAAGGGCTAGGTTGACTGAATTAAAAGATAGAGCCTTTGTATTCGTAAATTCTGTCGATTATCTACTCGAAGGAGCGGCAACCTGTACGGAAAACAGCGGTATGGACGCGAAGGTGCGATCTGATCCCTACCTGTGAATATCCTTAAACATATATAAGTACATTGTGCACAATGATCATCAGAGCAAATGATACTTGAGCATGATATTCCATTTCTGTTTGCTAATATGATACATTATTCAATGATGGTGAAATTCCCTGCAATCTGATTGGTCCATGTGACTTAAATATATCCTGTATTTACACGCACTTTCCATTTGGCATTGAATACAGGCGAAAATGACGTCAGCGTTGGGATACGGTCCAGTATCCCAACGCCCCAGATTTCCATCCAGGATATGACTATTACTGAAAAAATCAATGGCGATCTGTTTACACCAACGCATGCTAATATTTGCATTTTGCTAGAAATATCTGATTTGAATATCAGGAAATGATACGGTGATCACCACAATTTATTATTTTAGGATAAAAAACACTCATCTGTAATTATGTAAAAATCAGTATGAAGCATGCACATTGTTTTCATGAACTAGTAAAAATCCAATATGGCAGACGAAAGTCGAAAAACGTTTCGTTACACTGTTCCAGCTGATGAAATTGAAGAAAAATGTTGAAGAAATCAAACGTATCGTATAATACAATAAAAGCAAAACAACAAGGCCGAAAAGATTTTGAAGGAATATCGATGTAAAATATTTTTGAGGTGAGAAGGTTGATCTGTTTCTCCGGTCCCAAGCCAAGGAAATGGACTTGATTAAGGGGAGTTTTATCTGAGTAATCATGGAATAAAAACGTTATTCAATGATTTCTCGTGAAATACAGAAAATGTTCTTCCCTTGAACGTCTGTATTTCACTCTGCTAGCGCATCGTGAAATACGACCTTCTCGGGAAGAATATTTTCGGTATTTCACTCGAATCATTGAATAACTTATAATGTAGTAGTAGAGCTATGTTATTCAGACTTATTTAATCGCTATAAGTTTTATCGATTTCCACTGTTCTAGACCAGTCCCATATACAGCTTTCGGAGAAAGGATCAATTATGTATTTGTTCCATATGAATGATGGAATGATGACTGTTTCCTGGCACTGTGTGATAAACTGAAATAGTACAATGTATTATACAATGTGTAATGTTAAGCCTAATTATTGGCATATTAGTGTTTCTAAATTCTAAGATATGAAAGCAATGAGAGCCATGTTTAATCACTTAAATGAATGATAATCAGCTCTTTGATGTTATTTAGAAAATAGAAATGGAAACACAAAGGAGTTGCAACATGAAAAACATGATTAATTGGAAAATAATTCTTTTTTGTGACTCCTATATATGTAAAATCCAAAGCAAGAATACGAGAAAACTCTCTTGAAGAATGCCTGTTAATTTCTATGTCTTCCTATTGATTTTTGTGAAATGGCCATAAATCTGATACTGCTATTGTCTACATGACATCCAGGTTAGAATCATTTTGCATTTGCTGATTAAATCATTCTCAGAAACATTTGCTTTCATATCCTGTGCTAATACATGAACAATTTTCAAATAAATCATTCTGGAAAATCTGATGTTTCACTGAAGCTTTACTTCTAATTATAAAAGGTAATGCTTTAAGTAATGTATATGGTAAAGCTATTACTGACTTAATCTTTTTAACCATCTGTTTTCAGCTTTGAAATACCATGAAAAACACAGCAATAAGGATGCAATCAGACGAGCATGTAGAGGTGCATTATGGGTACTCTTAGACCGGGAACCAAAGAAACAAAATGTGCATTTTGGTAAGAATCATGAAATACTAATGGAAATACAAGGCAAAATGAGGTCAACTACCAAATATAGAAATAACCCATATTGTGCACAAACACAAGACTATTTGCAGATTGGGTGAAATCAAATAAACTCATTGAAATGAAGTGTCAGGAACATTCAAAAAGGTTTAGAGTCTAAAAAGTTTAGATGAATAGGGGCATGTTTTTAGTATTGGTCAGAGTTATGAGCTTTCACGATTTGTTTGATGTATCTTAATCTGCTTGTTTGATTTGCAAGAGGCTAAAAAGTCCATTTACAGCAAATACAAGAGATATTACAATGAATTGGATTCATATGAATAAATTGAAAATTAAGAATATTCATGTAGCAGTTGGACAAAAGCACAATTCTATAAAGAGCAATATTTGAAAACGAGTTATGAAATGGCATACCAATCATGCAAAAATATAAGAATGTTTATCATACTAGCTTTGATGGATGTTTGATGTTTTCAACTTTGTTTTACAGATAAGTTTGAGCCAAACCATGTGATGATAAGCTACCAATGGGACTGCAAGAATATGATGGTGCGTGTGAAAGATCGTCTCAAAGCGGCTGGTTACAAAGTTTGGATGGATGTTGAAAAACATAGTAAGTTCAAAATATGGTAATCTTTGTTTTACAATAAACACCATTGTAGCTTGCGTCTATATTTGGTTATGGACTTTCTTTGCTTAGCCATGCCCAGCCTCATTGATTTTCTGAATTCAAATAAAACTACTGAGAAAATTTGTGTGAAGTGATTGAAAGTAATTGGAATTTAATATGTTGATTTGATGCCCAAATGATGTAATTAAAACATATGCGCCCATTGTGCCTCCAAAATTGAATATATATTAAGTTCAGAAATATATCGTGTTTGGGTTTACATGTAGTTGCATTAGGAATGTTATGTGAATCAATCAATTGATTTGACACATTATAGACTAAGGCAAATGGTGAATCAGTATTTACATATAAAATTACAGCCTATTTGTAGTTTGGTTGCCCTACAACATTGGTCAATAACTACCAGTAATCCCTGATTGCTCAAATTGTTCATTATACATTGGCCTCCCCATGAAAATTGTCATGTATAGTTTTGGAAGAATAGAGACATGTTTGATGAGTATATATATTTCCCTAGCAAGACACTGAAAAATAGAATAAAGGGGATGGAATTATATAAAAATGTTAGAGAATCAGACATTGTAGCCATGGATTTATTGATTAATAGTATGTGTACCATGTAATTTCAATTACATCTACATCTTCTCAAACAATCACAGTGTACCAGTGAACTATCATTTAATTTCCTAAACCATAATTTGGTTACCAAGTAAAGGCACACATTGAATGGAAAATCGATTGTTGAATCAGACCAATTAGAATGTTCAGAAATGTTCTTTTCAAGAAAGTCCAATAATGTTTGAAGATCAATAGTCATTCATTCAATGAATAATATTTTGAAAGAGATGTGAATTATTGATAATCATTTTTCATTTGTTTACTAACATCCATGGTAACATGGGGACTTGACTGGATGTGATTTAAATGCCATCTATAACACATATATGTAATATGTATGCATTTAAATAATTTTTTATTTTTTTATTTCTTCAATCAATAGAGTATGTGTTTCAAAAATGTTTCGTATGGAGAAAAAGTCTCCTAATATTACTATTTTGCTAAGAAATAATATTTTTGATATTGCAAACAAAATATCTTTATTTTAAAATATTCTAAATATCATAACATTATAGCAAATGTGTAACAGGGTCATCTATATTTTCAGGTAAAACATTAGAGAACTCAATGGCCTATGGTGTTGAAAATGCTGCAGTGTGTATCATCTGTACATCTCAGAAATACAAAGAGAGCCCCAGTTGCAGATCTGAAGCTGAATACATGCACAAACTACGGAAACATGTTATTCCTGTTCGAGTTCAGCATCATTACAACCCTGATGGTTGGCTAGCTGATATGGTTGGCTCCAATCTGCTGTTCGATTTCAGTAGTGATGATCTAATTGAAGCCAGCCTAAAGTCACTTATAAGGGAAATAGGCGAGAGAGGAAAATACCCAGAAGGCTACAGAAGAGGTGAATATTTAAGAAAATTAATTCCTTAATCAAGTTTTTATCAATGGATGTATTTGCAACCTTTCAGGTCTGTAAATCCGAAAGAGAGTTTGTATAAAACTGACTTGCATAGCTTGTGAGTCAAATATAACAGAAGCATTAGCTTTTCTGTCTTGTTGGTTCTACTCTCTCCCTCTATATTTTGTATTTGAAATGGCATCCTTTTCTGTGTTGTAGATGCTGTGAATGATAACAACAATGGCCCTGCAATGTACTCCACACCAAAGAAGCTAGGAATCCCAGGGTGGACAACATACGAAGTGAAGAAATGGTTGAAAGACAATGAGATGGCTCACCTTACTAACAGGTAAAACTACAAATTCATAATGATTGTTTCAAATTCAATGACTACAATGGTTTAATATAATTGTACTCATTGTTTCAAATTCAATGACTACAATGGTTTAATATAATTGTACTCATTGTTTCAAATTCAATGACTACAATGGTTTAATATAATTGTACTCATTGTTTCAAATTCAATGACTACAATGGTTTAATATAATTGTACTCATTGTTTCAAATTCAATGACTACAATGGTTTAATATAATTGTACTTATTGTTTCAAGTTCTATGACTATAAATAATGGTTTAATATTGTACGCATTGTTTGAGGTTCAATGACTATAATGCTTTAATATTGTACGCATTGTTTCAGTTTCTATGACTATAATGGTTTAATAATGTACTCATTGTTTCAAGTTCTATGTACTCATTCTGTTGTACTCTTTGTTTCAGGTTCAATGACTACAATGGTGAAATGTTGCTACAGATGAAGACAATGTCCCAGGAATCTCCAGACTTCTTCTATCAAAGTCTCCGTAAAGAGATGGGATTTGCCCAGATGGACATTTTGAAGTTTACCACCTCACTTCATAAACTTCCTACGTAATGAAGAATGCGACTGTGTTTAGATGGCATGGAATTTCAATTCATAATGTCATTCAAAAACATTTGGTGCCATTGAATGTGTGCCAAACTGCAAACATTAGGTGCAAAATAAAACTGAAATCTACATCTATCAATAATACTGTATTTCCTATTTAAAATATAGTATATATTTCTGGAAAGACTTTGATTTGTTAGAAATGTGTTTCAAAAATACATTTAGCTAAAGCAATATGAATGTTTTAAGTAAGGGTGCTTTGTGAAATGTGATTGTGGCGTTCAATGGTGAAAACACTGAGATCTCAATGGATGAATCTTCCAGTGGTCAGATTTATGTACATGTGCATTGTTATATTTATTATGAAGAATTTACATGTTTGTATGGACTAATTTAGTGACTGTACATGTTAATTGTAAATAGTATTTTTATACTTTATGTTAGAAATTGTAAATGTTATTGTCTTTATAGATGTATTCTGAATAGAAATGTGAAACTTGGTATCACATTGGGAAGAACTCTAAATCTGCTCTGTTATTAATGTCTATTTAATGTCATCATGCATAACTCATACCGTATATGGGTGAAAATCTAAAATAAATTACTTTAGATGAAATTAAATATAATTTTAATGTGTTTAAAATGTCTTATGATACAATTTTTCGCTTCCAGTCTGCCCTTGTTCTACCTTTTGGATTCATTCGATTTTGCTTATTGAAAGAGGGTATTTTATAACTAGACTCTGCGCGCAGGGTACCATTGTTCTTGTTATTTTATTAGAATCTACATACTTTTACCAGATGAGTGGAACTACCAGTAATAAATAAAAGAAATCATGTTCATTGAGAAATTATTTTGATAGATACTCCAGAGAACATTAAAACGAATGTTTAAATAATCTTAAATTATTGGAGTTTAGACGTTACTTGTATTATATATATATATTATAATTTAGTTATATCAATATCAGTATACCGTATTCGCTTTAATAAACGCACAATGCGTCTCCCAAATCCATACGGATTTTTAAAAGGAATACAATGGGCGATAATATGGTATTTTATGATTATTTCATGGTAATCTTGATAGGTTTTCACCATACATTCCCTTGGTCATTTATGTGTGTTATCACAAAGATATTTATTCCATAATATTTTTTCTGAAACTTATTCTCATTTTCAAGTTTGATCATGGGCATTCAACTAGTTGAATGCCCATGGTTTGATTTGTCATCACTCTATGAAACATTTTGATTAATATCATATCATGGACTCTCAACAGAGAGAAAGCTCATGATCATATCAACTTTTATTGGTAAGTTTTAAAATAGAACGAAAAATGTAAAAACCAAGGGAAATTCCCGGGAATAGTTCTGATACGAGATTTTGGCTGATACGGGATCTATTACGGTGTAAAAGGGTAGGAGGTCTTATTAATTTATGGTCTTACTCTCCATTGATTTATATGGTGACCGCTTTCCCTTATTATCTTACAATCAGGGCCAGTAAGGGCCTTCAAAAAGGGGGACCATAATCCCCGGGGGACCATAATTTCTTTCACAATGGGATTTTCGGAATATCTATTCTATTCCCTGTTTTTCCCCAGGGAAACATGTTACATTATCATGGAATAAGATTGTTGTATACTAAGTAAGTGTGCTTGAAAACCTTTCTGGAAACAGATATCTCAAAAATGGCACGTGACAAAACCTCGATTAAAGTGCTGGTATATATTAATTGATCAGTCGTTTAATTGGCATATTTTCTTGAATTTTAACATTTAATGTCCCAAACTCCCACAAACTGCAGAAAAGTATACCCCATAAATCATATTTACCAAAATGAGTGTCTCCAAGGCTTCACACCAGCGTATGGATAATGCATTTTTCACGAGTTTGAGCTGAAATTTCGCCAAAATGAAGTAGGCTAAGGGTAGGCTCTGCCAGGTTTGTTTATTGTGGCAAGCTTGTAAGTGCTCGGAAGCAAATAATTCACGTGCGCAAAATAATCAAATAATCTAATTGGTCTAAACTTTGCTGCACATGCGCACAATGTGTGCCATGTTTTTTTCTAGTGATTTCGTTTCGTTTCATGGAGTTTGCGTTTCAGTGTAACTTCCGCAAAAATGGCCGACCATGGACAGAATTAACAGGTAAAATCACTTCGAAATTTCAAGAGAACTTTTTACCTATAATTGCAAAACTTTTGTTTTATTTGTGCATTCTATCTATCAGATAAGAGTTTCAGGGGTATGTAGGCAAATTCATTTTGGTAGGAACACTCTTTTTAGTTTGAAAACGCACCCTATATTATTATATATCAGCACTGTAGGTGCATGCCTACATGTAAGTACTATAAGATATATTTTGGCAGGTATGTAGGCCTCCATGGCATACTTTGAAGGAATCACATGAGAAATGCCGGCTTTTTGAATGTACATGGTTATTGATTTAGGATGCCACACATTAAAGATAATGAACTAAATGCGGCAGAACGGAGACTGTTGAACTCCAAAATCAATCAGTTCATTGTCTTATGTTTTCTTTTCCTTAAATGGATGGTAATTATAATGCAAAAGGTGCACACAACTAACAACTTACACCCCAGTCACATTTGTCGCACGGCGGCCGCAAGTCGACCGCAGATCAATTAAATCGGTGAATTTCTGCGGCGAGCGTAGAAAAACAACGCTCGCCTTGCGGCCTCCGTACGGCGAATGCAGATTTTTACAGGCCGCAGGGAAGGCGTAGAAATTATAACTCGGAGTTATAATATTTGTTCATTTCTGAGGTCCCCGTAGAAATCAACTGGCTCAACAAGATTGAATCATTATTTGTCAATGTTTCACGATCAATTTTCATTTGATATTACATCCTAACACTATGAATAACATTTATGAATTTTTCTGATGTAAATAAAATGAAAAAAAGTATTATTTATCAACAGAAATTTAAAATTCACCGTGCGGCTGCCGTGGGAAATGTGACTGCAAAAGTATGAGGGCGCAGAAATTCCACGGCGAGCGTAGAAATGTTACTGGCCGCAGAAATAATAGACCGCAAGGTCGCCGTAGGAAATGTGACTGGGGTGTTAGTAGGGTAATAAGGCATTGGAAAGGAGTCATTTTCACTTTCATATCTTGATACTTTAAATTATATCTAGAAATTGACTGGGAGGGGGTCAGAAAGTTTTTTTTCAAAATCACTTATGCCTAGCTCATGCCTTGGTCACATTTGCTCCGATTTTCACTACGGCGCCCGGCCGATTGAGTATTTTGTTCAAAATTGAATACAATATTGAGCAAAACACTCAATCGTACGGACGCCGACCGATGAATCGGAGCTTATGTGAACTAGTCATAAGGTAAGGACCCCCTCTCAAAGATTAAGGACCGTTTTGCAAAAAGCTCAAGCTCACATTATTTCACGTACATAACTGTTATTTGTTAAGGTGACTGTTAACTTAATCGATTTTCAGAAAAAATTGAAAATTTCTCAATCTTGAAATTTTCAAACTCTTCCTGAGAAGTCGTTTTTATTATTTCACATATGCTTGTGCACTGTAATCATTACAAAGACATCAAAGAACAACAAAAAACTTTAGTTTGAGAAAAAAGTGCCGTTTAAAGAATTTGAGAAGATTTTTTCTAGGAGTAGCCGGTGAATAACCGCTGATTCAAAATATCTGAACATTTCAGAAAATATACTTCAAACATATATCAAAAACGAAGGAGCAACGGAAATTTGAAAAATTACCCGATAAAAAAATTGGGATCAAAATAAGGAAAAAAGTACACCTCTCAAATTGTTTTTTTCTCTTTTTTTTTTAATTTGTATGAGAGATTTCAAAATTCTAAAGCTCCTTCCATTTTGGGCTATATTAAAGGGATGTTTCAGAGAAATTAGAAAAAAAATGTTCAGGGACCTTTGCCGTGCTACTCTTTTTGTCAATTTTTCTGTCACATTTTCAGAGGACTCAAATTCCCATTCCAAAATGTTTACTGTTTCTATTTGCATTACCACAGTGAGCCTGGTTATGTAAATGATAAGTGGAACTAAAAAATTGAGAGAAAATCCAACCAAAAGACTTTTTTGGATTTTTTGATTAAGTTATAAGTTACCTTAATTACATATTCCATATTACACAATTCCACTTTACATATTGTTTGTGTATTTGACAGTTGTAAAGGTCAGATTTGCCCCATAAGCCATTAGCATTTCCAGCTATGTATACTATAAATAATATAAATAAATTGTCAGTTTCTAGTAGTATGCTACCAGCTCCTTTATTAGTGTTACTAGAATACCATGGACTAAGAAGCCAAATAGAATGTTTACGGTTAGCATATTGCCATGATGATCACTTAGACAGGCTTCACTGCATTGCAACTGCAGATCTGCCTATAGATAGAATATATATTTTACCAACTTTAGCATCTGGAGGATACAGCTATACATTCACATTAACTCTGTCTAGTGAAGTAGTGGTAATATAAGATATCTAAAGGGCCTTCCAGTCCATCTTCTGACCAGTTCTACTCTATCCGGAATAGATGCGGTAAGAACATGTAGACACGGATATAGGGCATATACTTATTGATGTAAGTAAGTCTTTCATTATGCCTTTATTTGATTGAATAAATACGATGTATTGGGTAAGGATCATACGACCAACAGGGCATTTTAGGCCTCGATATTTGTTATCAGAAATTGTATGCAAGAATAACACTCAGATTAGAAATATGATTGGATTTTGATTTTTTACATGATAAACTTTTTTTCTTGACTTTCAATCAATTCGCCCATACTATAGCAACATTTGTATCGTAGGGGAACGTATTCAGTAACTATGCACTTGTAGCGTGAGCTATTGATGTGTGGATTAACAAAACCATGTCGGTGGAAGAAGAATTTGACTCTGGCGGGGAAATGGAAGATGATACAAAAGGATTTATTATAAAAATTAAAACTAGGCACTGCTTTGGCTGAAGAGGAGATGAGTTGGGAAATGATTTGTCATCAAATCAAGATCTTGACTTCACGAACGTTGAGAAGGCTTTAGACGAAGACGAGGAATCAGCAAAAATTACACACCGCTTGTCTGACAAAGTCCCCGACTTGCTACATTCTAAAACAGAAACTGGAAATATATAAATGATATGGGAGCTTCAGAATGTTATATGACTGAGAGAGTTTGGCGAGGCTTTGATCAGTCTAAAGACCTCATTTTCACTATACTTTTGTTCCTTCTATATAGCAGACTGATAACGCTGCTGAAGGATTAAATGCTGAACCGATCCCTTAAATCTTTTTCGTCCATGGGCTATTTTTCTTATAGTGCGAGTCAGCAGCGAACTTCTGAATATGTTCTACATGTTCTGCAATGTTTTAACCCAATATCTAAAACGCATGAAATGAAATGGGCAAAATATATAAATGAGCCACTGGGGAAAAAGGGGATATGAATCAACGAGTCTTCAGAGGCAATTATCTATATTTACCTTACACAGCCTGACATGGACTGATAACTCTTTGTCTTATTTGATGAAACAGAATGTCACTAAACCTTTACGGCTCTGTTATTTGACGGATTAGGTACACCATCGTGTATCGTGGGAGACGTCTTGCGCGGCGCAGTTATTAGTTATTAGTTCAGATGTTTCGGTACGTTATCTGATGATAAATATACATACATTCCTTGTTGAGCATCGTAACTTGGTAGCGTGCTAACTTATTACAACACTGTTCTCATTGGTAGCATCTTACGTTCAAGTTTTAAATGTTTGAAATTGGTTTGTTATTGGGTGAGATGATAACTATGTCACTGTATGATAATATATAAGAACTTTAAATTGTTCACATAACAAAAATTGATAGCATTGCTTGTTTTGGCAATCTTTCGTAAACTATATACTACAAGAGCATTTTCATTGCACCAGTGCATCTGTTTGTGATATTCATTCGTGGCAAATGAGAGCAGTGGGGTAAGATGCCGTGTTGTAAAACAGTGTAATGACTTATTCAGTTTGAAGCACTTGCTCACCCGATTTTACAACAGATGGCCTACTTTCGGCAAGCAATTTCCTGGATTAATAATAGGAGATTTTCTTTCTCGAGCTCCCAGATATCCAATAAGAACCCATTTTTCCTCAAATCAGAATTACATACTGCCACATAACCTACATGAGTATAATGTACCGTGTATACAACTTTTTCAAACATTAGATTTTCCCATTGCTTTGGTTATCGCGCTAATGAAATATGCAAGGCTTGGACATTTTGCTATAACCGACTTTATTTCAATATTGAGGATGACTTCAAAAAAAATTTTTGATGGCGCTGTAGTAGAATTTTTAAAATGATCACATCAGAATATAATGTACAGGGTGATTGAAAAAGTGGAATCTCTACTATAACGGACCAAATGTGAATAGGTCCATTATAGTCAGTTCAGATCTGACAACAACAGGACTTTAAAGACCTACTAGCTCAGAACCTGATGATGATGAAGATTTAAATTGACAAAACTTTCCATGTATTGTCCTGAGTAGAAGATCGAATCATTTGTATATAGTCAAAATATGTTGGTAATGTATTGGGGGCATTGCGATGGATGAAGGATAGTTCATTATTCCCCCGAAAGATGGTAGTATGTTTTGACTGGTAAAATGAAGGCCCTACTATCTTGGGAAGTAGGAACCATCTTCATTTTCTTATTTTTTGGAAGAAGATTGTTTTACAGAAGATCAATGATATAACACCATTTTAGAGTTGATCTTAACAGCTATGTAAATATACTATACGTTCAGTTTAGCATTGATTGGAAAGCTAAAACTATGATTCAGTAGAGTTCTAACTTTTTGGCCCACCTTGATTTTCCTTAAATAAAACCAATATCCCCAGTTAATAGCCTCGTATATTCACCGCAACAAGGCAACTTATATTCCATTCAGTGTATCATTACTCATTAGAGTGAACAACAAATTGGTTGCTGTTCTTTTGAAACATACATTTTCCAAGTTGTATTTACAAGTAAATATAATAGGCTATGCTTTTTAGTAACACGCCATGGGAACCAGTTGAGATATTTTGAAATTCTAATGCTCATGTTCGTCATTTATCTATGTCTAGTGGCTCATCAGAAACCAGAAATAACCGTACCAAGTACCGAATAAAATACATTTAACTGTAGGGGCTCTTCTTTGGATCCTTGTTAATTGACTCCATATATTGAGTTTATGATGTCTTATTGGCTAGTATCTTTACAATGACTTCTGGGAAGGGATTAGTTCTGTTTTAATTAACTGTTCTCCGGAGAGCATCTTGAATGATGACGTATGCAGGAGGCATATGAGGCCCGAATGGAAGTGGTCCTCGAGGATTATATTGATTTTATCATTCTCATGGACGAGGAGCACATTTGGACTAAACACTCAAGTACAGTTCAATGGAAACAAGGCCAAGTCAGTAGAGGCAATGAAACCTCGTTATCCCGTCTTGCTCCAAGGTGGGCCCTAAATAATGTGGCCTCAAAACTGGTTTCATTTTGATATCACCATTAAGAATAACCCTCACTTGAGAATGGCTTTGATATTTGAATAGATCTCAATTTTTGAAACTTCGGCTCATAGTCTCAGAAGCGAGACGCAAGTTAACTTTTCATAAAGGAAGAGCCATAACTGAGGAGATGAGAACATGAATGATGTTCTTATTGTCCTAATTATCCTATTGTTGTTTTATTTCCTTAGGTAGTACAGTGCCAATGTTGAGTTAATAATACTCATTACCAAGGATTTTTGCTAGCATGGGTTGTAGAACTATTTTTTACTTGTTTGGTCATTTTTGCCCGCTCATTTTTTTATTTCTTTTTTATTCGTTCAGTACAAAATCGAGTTTTGCTTTTTTGCAGTATATTACACATTGTTTATAGATGTGCGATCTTCTACATAGCATATGTTAAAAAAACACATTCAAATTCAACATTTCACCCCCCCCCAAAAAAAAAAAATTACCCAGAACAAGTGTCCACTCAATATATTCAACAACACAGAAGATTCTTTAGCAGGTACCCAAATATTTAAATACATTAACCCAACTCTATATAATTCCAATTAATACGTTTATTTACAGATGAGCTTGGCATCGAGCTAGGTTAGAATGGGACAACACATGGCAAAACGAAAGGTTGAGGAAGGGATCAAACTTTACGCGGCACAGAATCACGACAAAGCCATTGAGAAGTGGGAACAGGCGCTCAGGAAAATCAGAGGACCTCATGATAGATTTGCTATCCTCGGCTATCTCGCTTCTGCCCATTTTGATCGTGGAAAATATCGGGAGATGTTGACATTCGCGATTGAGCAGATTGACCTTGCAAATGAAACAGAAAATGACGTTCTTAAGGCAGAGGCATATCTTAACCTCGCACGTGGAAATAACCATCTTTGTGAATACCAGAAGGCAATCAGCTATAGTGTGCACTGTCTTGAGAATGAAACAAATGATGGGCGCATACAGGCCTATGCATATCTTAATTTGGCCAATGCCCAATCTGGGTTCGGAAACTTCAGCAAAGCTCTGAAGTATTACCACGAGGCAATGACGAGAAGCAAAGCTGTGAAAGATTCTACCCTCCAGCTCCAGATTTACAGCGCTATGGGTAGGCTTTATACAGCATTAAAAGATTACGAAACAAGTTTGAACCATTTTTTGAAGGCAGCGGAGCTCTCAAAAAGTTCCAATTCTGAAGATGTTAACTCTAAATATCAGAGGGAGACTTGTCTAAATTTCGCTAGGCCCTACCAGAAGCTGGGACGTTATGAGGAGGCCATGGAAGCGTGTGAGGTAAGAACGGTTTCTTGAAACTTTTCTGCACTTGGCAAAGGCCTAAGAGGAACAGATCCAAGACTCATCACTCATCATTTTGATCATGGTCAAATTATCAGAATGCTCTTATTTTATTAGGATGAAAATATGTTTATTTATTGTTTTTGCCTCTTTTTCTTTTTCTCAAATTGATTTCTTAGCAAATATTGGCGGCTATCAAAACTACATGAACTTAGCTATGGAATACCATATAGATGTTTGGAAATTAGGTCGGTTTAAGACAAAATCGAGGTCAAATCATGATCACTATTTTAAAAGTTTCTCACTTCACCTTATAATTTCTTTTAATTGTAGCTAAGAAAAATCTTTCAGAAAATTGATATTCATCTTCAATTTACTCTTGTAGCGAACCGATGCATCAACCAGTCTTAATGTTGATAGAACATTTGGATCATTGTTTCTCGTGTTTCTTCATTTGGTGCGTTTACTAAAACTTTTTTGAAAACGATGAAAACAGGGATAAAAATACGCAGATACATATAACTATAAATGCGAATTCGGAATCTCTGCCATTGTGTCCAAAAAGTAGATAATAGGGAGTTTAAGATAGCGGTATTTTTTTTACCTACGTTACAGGGTTTACGATACGTTATTACCTATAAATGGCCGAAGATAGGTAATTAGAAAACGTATGTTTTTATCCAATAAATTATGTCATTTCTAGATCAAATATCATCCATTGAACTTTAAAATACTAACAACAAACATTTGTGTCTCATTCGATCTGCATAGAAATGAAGTGGTCGAACACATTCATTGATGCGATAAACGATGCCATGTGATGATGCATGAAATTGTTGAATTTACACATTCTTCATCAGTTTTGCTTATTGTAAATGTATGAAATCAGCCATTTAACATTTCGCCTTAAGTCACTGCCCCATTAGCGGGCCCACAAGCAACACCCCCTCCCAACTACAGTAGCTACACCACACTCTCTCTGAAGTATATAACAGTTCTTGGAGGTGACATGTACTGGTATATGCCATATAAGCCATCGCATGGTTTTCATTCTATAATTAGGATGTTAATTTTATCATAAATTGTAGCATATGGTTTCGTAGGCTTTTACGTTAATCTCAAACTCATTTTGCAATGCGCATTACCTATACGTATACGTAACATATCTAGGGATATGGATAGGTATGTTTTTACCCTAATCTTAACCTCCCTATTACAAAAAATTAAGGTGTGGCTATAAATGCGGTTCGTTTTAAAAGGATTGGTATCGATATGGAGAACTGAATAATGTTTTTCTCTTAAACCAATCATTGAAAACATTCTGTAAAAAACACGGTATTTTATGTAATGTTGACTAATTTAGTTATAAACAGTTATACAAAGGAATTTTTGGTTGATTTTTAAAAAGTATTCAAAAAATTAAAACAAAATCCCCCCAAAATAGATAAAAATCAAGATAAACCTCTTATTTCATTAACATGATACTTTTTTGAAATCAACCAAAATTTCCTAATAAATGTACAATTACAATATTTATCTCGTTTTGTTCCAATGAGGTTCGGAAAAATGTTTCATTTCACTCTGGAAACATGATACCAAGAACAAAACAAGTGTTTGATGTGTTTTCTAAAACAATATAGATAAAAGTATATATCTATTTTTCAAATTATATTGTTACCATTCAAAAGATGACCATTAAATTGACGATGTGTTAAATTTTTAGATTTTTTTATGACTGGTTTATATATCAGATGCTGGCACAGTTTTGCCGGAAGTTTGCAAGAAGTAACTTTTGGCAATGCAGTATGTTAGAGTAACCTAGTAGGTGTAAGAAAATATAAGGTGATGGCCTTTAAAGTGGTAAAAACAATTTTCACGGCCGAATTGGACTTCAATTCCTGCGATTTCAGGGGGTACTATAAGACTATTTCATAACATAAAGGATATAGTTGCTATTGTTCTGTTTTCTACAGCACACATTACTAGTCCAAAGATGAATAATATCCTAAAGTTATAGGCCAATATCTGTATTAGTCTCAGAAATATCGCAATTAATAGGAAAAAAATATGCAATTTTAGTCATTTTTAAGTCTCACGTATCTTTTATTTGTAGCTTCCAGCAAAAGATGGCAGCTTAAATAGCTCAAAATTGTTTTCTAAAAACTAATTCAAGCTTTGTTTGATATTGTAATACAATTATAATAATGATAATGTACTATTTATGATTTTTAATATGACTTTATAGTACCCTACCCCTGGAAAGTTGGCGTGGCCAATGTTATCATTTTGCAGCATACAATTAAAAACTTGTATTGATAGAAAGCAAATCAATGCATTTTTAACATTTTCACTTGTTACTTGACATTGTAATTCATTCGTTACTAAAATATAGGACTCTACATATTTTATATATACATTTTCAATTTTGTACAATGTATCATGATGAAATCTAATAGGCTATTTCATTTTCAGTGTTGTAAGTCACAGTGTTTCCAAATTACCTTTGCAATGAGAAAGTACTACAAAGACTACATAATATGAGCAGTTTCAAGGTCCTAATACTAATACTTACCGATCTATCGGCGTTCAAAAATAGAGAAAGCTGTCGTGAGTGCAGTTTTAACTAACTTTGAACTGAAACTGCTGCTTAATGAATATTTTTCTCAACATCTGTGACTTTTTTAGACCCCAAACATAAGATACCAAGACATAATGCTACCAAGTTCTGATATTGGAAGTTTCAGAGCTCTAGATCAAATATTCACTTCTGCATGTACTTTTAAAAAGACCCAAAAGGACAAAAAACCTGTCAGATATTGTGAAAAATATGAAAGATGCACTATTCAGAACAATTTATCTCTTAAATGTTACTTTTATTTGACATAATTTCTAATTCTGCCTCCAGTTAGAACCACCAATAATACATATGAGAAGACTTAACGTCATAGTAAGTGGAAGTTGTTACGCGGTAAACACAATACAAAAATATGTCATATTCCGCAACGAATATGGCATATTCACTTGTGGTGTATGACAGATTCACCTGCGGTATATGGCATACGCACTAACCAATGAGAAAGTGATACGGAAGTACGCAATTGTCAATTGCATCGATTGAACGAACAAGTAAAACTTAATAAATTATTATAATGATTACTGAGTCAACAGTACTGTGTATCGAATATATTAACTTAGCAGAAGTATCAGTCACCAGTCTCACGTAATAAACTTACTCAATCAATCCAGGATTCATATATTAGTACTCGACGCACTAACTATATTGGTAATCCAGCGTAGTTTTACATTTAGAGTCGATTCTCGCCACCAATCAAATCAAGGCTTTCTGTATCACATTTCCACCTGCGGTATATGTCATATTCACCTGCGGTATATGGCATATTCCGCAAATGAGTATGACATATTCCGCAGGTGAGTATCGGGTATTCACTGAAATCAATGTATCACATATTCACTGCGGAATATCGCATACTCACCTGCAGAATATGCCATATACCGCAGGTGAGTATGGCATATTCAACCGTATCACAAATACCGCGCAACCATGAATGTATGCCATATACCGCGTAACAGAAGTACAGATCTATTGGCTTCTGAAAATCGGAAAAGCTGTAGCAAGTATGATTTTCACCAGTTTTTCATCTAAGACTGCAACTTTCTGAATTTTCTTTTTACAAACTGCACAGTAAGACCAAAGACATTAAAGGAAACATGGTCATTGTACCACCAATAATAAGTAAAAATAATATTGGTAATATATACCAAGTGTTTACTTTAATTCCAAGGCATCTGAATTGATAAATAAATGAAATCAGTACTTTATTGTATCTTGGGACAAAATACAGTTTGAATGCTTAAGCTTGACATCACAGTATCAAGTGAAAGATACGTTGTTATATACAGCTATCTATCACTTTAACTGACTTTACTCTTCAATTTGAAATATGCCTGGCCATCCTAAGAAAAATGCGATGGAGGGCAAAGAGGGTGCATGGTTTAATTGGAAATTAAGCTTTTCTAGAGATTAAAACTCCCACAATTTTTAAAAATGAAATGGAGAATAACATGTGAAAGTATAGGATGGACTAATTGTTCTAAGTAAGTTTTTGAAAGTAACATTGCATGAAATGTTTAAGCAAGAGATATGTTCCAAAATACTTTCAGGTAGAAATAAAGCTTTGTAATGTAAAAACAATGTATTCTCAGTATCCCATGGTTGCAAGGATATAGATCGAATATCACATGAAGATATATTTGATATGTGGACCAAGTTATAATATTTTAGCAAAAAATTCACAAACCATCGAATATCACTTTTAAACTATCGAATATCACGTCTTAAAAAGTGATATTCGATGGTTTGAAAAGTGATATTCGATGGTTTCGAATTTTCTCAAAAGAATTTCTTTTTACATTTTTTAATTATTTTCAAAAATATTTTAAAAAAATTTCAACATTTTTTCACAATTTCTTTTCAATTATTTTTTCAAATTTTTTCTCAAATTATATTTTTTCACATTTTTTCGCTGATGATGATTTCCCATGGGATAAATAAATTTTTTTTCAAAAATATCAATTATATCCACTCATGGATACAAATATCTTCACTGCGCTGCACTCACTCATGAAAATATCAATATCCACTATATATGGATATAAATGATATTTTTTCAAAACCATAGGATATTCCTATATTATATCAATTCGGATGCTGAAGTCACTTAATAAATAATAACTAGATGTAACTCCTAGTAAGCACTTCAAGTTTCAGTTCTAAATAAAATACAGTTTAGTTAAAAAATTGTTAAGAATACATACATTTTTTCACAATCACAATTTCACCATTTCTGACTGTATTTTGCATATTTTTAAGTGTCAATGGTTCAATGATTATTTGATATAACCTCCTGAAACTACTCTCATATATATTTGGTGGTACAGTGATATGGAATTCTGTCTTTTGGGGTCTCACAGAATTC